GGGTTGCAGGCTCGATCCCGAGTGTGGGGCATGTAAGAGGCAGCCGATCCATGATTCTCATCATCTCTCTCCCTCTCCCTTCCTCTCCAAAGTCAATAAAAATATTTAAAACTAATTAAGCAACTTGTCCAGGGTCACGTGGAAAGGGGCAGAGCTGGGACTCAGTCCTGTGTGACATAGCCACATGCTGGCTCCCCATCCTCCCCTTGGCCTGGGTTCCCCCTCTTGGCCCCGTTACAAATTCACAGCAGTTACACCCACAGGGCGGGAGACCCTGAACTCTGACCTTGGCGGGTATATATAGCACAGAAGCTACGGCCTAACCCTGCCTTTTGCCTGTTGAAGTGAGTAAAATCCCGCCCCTAAAGGCCACCATCTCTAACCTCCCGCCCTCGCAGGCAGCTGGTGTGGTTCTTTCCGGTGTGGTTAGTGGATTTCCTCACGTGGCCGCCGCCGTGGTCTCTGTAAAACCTAAATCCCACTGGGCTTTTCCCACTTGACATTGTTTTACTGGATCGCACGTGGGTGTGGTCTCCTCACTTGTGGCTTTCGTGGCATTCCGTGGCTCCCTCAGGGCCCGGCCGGGTGAGGCATCCCGCACCTTGTCTCCCAGGGTTGTTTATGGGCGGCTCTTGTTATGGAGATAAATAAACACCCTCTATGCTAATCACGGCCACAATTTGCATTTATATTGTGCTTCTCCTGCGAGGATCTCACGTTGTGGTGCAATAATGAACTATCCTCCGCACCACGGCGGTGTGCGTCCGCGGGCGGGGGCAGGATATTTAATAACTGCCGTAACCGGGCTCCCCGAGATGCCTGGACGGGAAGCAGGGAGAGGGCAGCTTCTCCGTGTGGAACAAGCTCTCCTTTCCTTCGGACGCTGGCCTGGGGTCAGGGAGCTGCCGGGAAGTGGGGATCCTGCCTGGAGGCGGGTCCAGAACGCAGGCGTGGAGCACCCCCCACGCCCCAGAGAGGCTCGGCTTCGGACCAGCCCCGGCCTCAGGGACAAAGCCGCCCGGCGTGGCCCATGCCCGCCTCTTGGGTGGCACGTGGGGCCTGGTTAGCCTTCATTACAGCACAGCGAGTGGGAGAGAGTTAGACTGGAGTCGCAAGGCCTGGGCATCTGCTTTGAAGCTGTCCCTGGGAAAATGGGCCTTGGGAAGGCTCAGGGCCAGGGGCCCGCCTTCTGGGGCCGCGGGTGACGGCGGACGAGGCAGCCCCCGGGGCCCCCACGCTGGTCACGCAGCCACCAGCTGCTCTGAGTGGACTTCCCGGCCGGGGCCGGTCGCCAGCTCGGATGTCCGGGCCGGGTCCTCCCGGACCTGGCTTCCCGTCGGGGACCGGAGGCAGCTCCGTGCAGAAGGAGCCCGGAGATCCCAGGCCCCCCGGGACGCGGACGGCGATGGTTTTAATTAGAGCGCAGAGCCGGGGAGCCAGGCGCAGGGATGACATCTTAATGAGGCTTAATGAAGCTGTCTGCTGGTGGGGACAGCTGTCACCCAGGGCTGCGTCCAGCCAGGCCCGTGACAGAGGAGGCTCGGGGAGGCAGGGCGGAAGCTGCGGAGGAGGCGGGTGGTCGGACCCAGAGCCGGGACTTTGCTGCACGTTCAGCTCTGGAGGCTCACAGCCCGTGACAGGGGCCAGCCGGGGGCCCGGCTCTCACACCCACCGGGCTGAGGAGCCTGCTCCAAGCCCCGGAGGGTTTGCCCGCGGTGCCTCAGAGCTCGGCCACAGACAGGGGGAGCGGGGGCTGAAGGGCATCGGCCTGCGGCCTCTCGGAGCCTCCGTGTCCCCATCCGTCCTGGGGGACGGCGTGCTCAGACAGCTGTGGGGAGCACTGAGCTGTGGGGAGCACTGAGCTGTGGTGTCCGAGCGCCCAGGGGAACCCCATGATGTTTTCTGAAGCCACAGCAATCTCCTTAACCCCGCCCACCACGGAGCAGACCCGCCAGCAGCTGAGCCTGCTTCTCACCAGCTTCTCGGGGCATCTCTCTGTCTACTCGCGACACCTCTGACCAGTCTGGAAAGGTCAGAAAGGTCAGAGGAGAGGCGAGGAACTTCCAGATGCCACCCCCCTCCCCCTCCGCTCAGAACCGCCCGGAGAACCCTCTGGGAGCCGAGTTGGTTTGTCTGCGCTGCAGTTTGTCTGTCCTTGTGTGCAGGCAGCCTTGTCTGAAGGTGGGTCTCCTGTTCGGCCACTGCCCGTCGGATGTGTGACCGCTGTCCAGGTGAACGGGCGGGAGGGCACCCGCCTGGGGTCAGGAGGCCACAGGCCAGCGCCCCCTCAGCCTCCAGAGCAGCTTCAGCCACTGCCCCGCCCCGGGGCACCCAGGCCCTGCTCCTCCCCAGAGAGCCATGCTGCACTTGAACCCCCCGAGGCAGCTTCTCCCACCGGCACTGTGTGTGAGGACCCCGTGGAGTGGGTGTGCACAGTGTGCCCTCTCTCCGTGGAGGTGCGTGCTGTTCAGCCCCATCACTCGGGGCGTCAGGGCCAGAGCACGCACCGGGGCGGGGCTGGACGTGGGCGTGAGATGTTTAGCAGCCGCCCTGCCCCGCCTCAACCCCAAATGTGCCCGGACACGACTGGATGACCTCGGGGGTAGGGGGCACAATCACCCCAATTGGGAACCATGCTATGGGGCACTCTATGGGATAAACACGCCACTACGATTTCTCCGCCTGGGACAGCGTTTAGGGCTGTTGCTGGGTGTGGCCATCACATATCACAGTGCTGTGCGCATTCCCAGACAGAGCTTTGGATGGACGGGGCACTGGTTTCTGCTGGGAGCCAGGGGGGTGTTATCAGGTTGGATCCATTTAGCTTTAGTAGACGCAGCTCCACCGGTTCCCACGGTGGCCACACCAGTTCACATGCCCACCAAGGGCGTGGGCGCACCAGGTGCTCCCCACCCTCACCGACAGCACTGAGGCTGAGCACCTTCACCCGTGGGTCTTGGCCGCTTGGACATCCTCTTGATGTTGTGCTTATTCAAGTCTTTTGCCCATTTTTCTATAGGATCTGCTGTCTTTTTCTTATTGGTTTGTAACAGCTCTTTACATATGATGGACAAGAATCTTTTGTCAGGTCCATGGATTGCAAATGTCTTGTCTCACTCTAGGGCCTAATGTTTTTAGCGCTCGAGGCAATCTATTCGGTCGTCCTCTTTGCAAGAAGATGAATTTCACGAGGGCGGGGGCTATGCCTCTTCTTTGTTTCCGTCACACTCCGGGCACAGGCTTGGCTCGGAGGAGGTGGAAAATAAATGTTTGTGGAGTGAAAAGCTGAGTGCGCTCCCATGGGATGATCTTCGAAGCCGGAGGCTTCGGTGCGCGTCGGCAGCTGTTGGTTCCCAGAAAAAGAACGTGGAGCGTGAGGCCTCTTCCCCACCCCTCTGCCCGCCCGAGCGGCAGCCAGCTCTCGAGCCTGTCTGTGGATCCTCTGCCAGCTGGACGCCTGCCCACCTGCACCTGCCCAGAGGGGGGCCTCGCCCGGAGAAGTCACATTTTAATTAACTTCCCGGCAGTCATCGGAGAGGCCGGATCATTTTCATAAACAAATGAGAGCCAGAGCTCCGTCTGCAGCTCAGAGGGAGTCGCGTGGGAGGAATTCAAACAAACCAGCTCGCAGAGGCCCGGGCACCGGGCACCGCCTGGAAGGCCGGACCCCAGGGTGCTCCGGCAAGGTCAGGGCCAGGGTCAGAGGGGAAGGAAGAGGGAGACACCTAGCAGGTTCCACGGGGAGCAGAATTGACAGCCTCCAAGCAGGCCTTTCACTCATTCATTCACTTATTCATTCATTCACCCTCCTATGTCGTAGCATCACCTGTGCTGAGCCGAGAAAGGAGGGTGAAAACAAAGACCATCAGGGCAGGCCGATGGGAGCCTCCGTTCCTGCTGCTGAGTGATGCTGTGAACCTAAAACCTCTAAAAATTAATGCCTATTTAAAAAAAATGTTTTTAATGAACCTTAAAGTAAGTAAATGAAGATTGAGCTCACTGTCTGCCAGGGAGACGGACATTAGACTGTTGGCACACACGCTGTGACCTGCTCACACTCCCTGACTGTCACCGCTTTGCTGTGATTATCACTCACACACACAACTGTCCCTTAAAGCTACAGCCCAAGGCTCAGCCCCTTCGCAGGTTGTGCACAGGGGTTCAGGTCCCTTCGGCTCTGAGCCCCAGATGGACAGTTACCGGGGCCACGGGAGGGAGCGGCCACTGTGAGTGCAGGGGGTGCAGGCGCTGAAGAACGAGGACGGCAGAGGGTGGGCAGGAGCACAGGGCATTCCGGGAGCCTCAGAGAGGGGAGTGGGCCAGCCCCCCCAAACCGCGGCGTGTGGGGGAGTCTGGGAGGTGGAGCTGTGGGGGCGGGTGGGTTGGAGGGTGCAGGGCCCGGACTGCCAGCTCCAGGGAGGCATGAATTCCAGGGTGAGCCACACGGTCCCCGATCACCTCCCTCCACCGCTCAGGCCCCGGAGCCAGCGAGGCGGGACCTGGAGGCACTGGAGGAGAAAGCGGGAGGCCGAGGAGGGAGCCTGAGGCCCGAATACTGTCTCTGGGCCCGGGGCGGTGGTCCAGGCCAGACACGGTGCCTTGAGGGCAGTGTGGCTGAGAGAGCACAGGGGAATGTCTTTCCCACAAACCCCGGGGGCTCCGGGAGGAGTTCCCCAGAGACCCGGGGGGCGGGGGGGGGAGGGGAGGTGGCTAGTCCAGCACCCACGGTGACAGGCGTGCCACGGGGGGGGGGGGGCGGCCCACGGGGAGGAAGGACGCGGCCTCCACAGGGGCTCCTGGGCGTCTCTGTGGAAGGGCCCGTCTCAGCTGCAGGGGACCCCTCCGCCCCCCTCCGCTTCCCCCGTCTCCACAGGGACTGTGCCCGCCCGGGCCCTGACGGCTGCCACGGCAGGGCAGGCGGGCATCGGTGACTGGGGGGGGGGGTATCTGATCAGAGCCGCTGGTCCCAGCCCGGCCTCCCCCGCTCTGTGCTCCCACAGGCCGAGCTGGGGAAGCCCCGGGAGCGGAACGTCACCCTCCCCGGCCTCGACTTCAACTACGGCCTCTACGTCCGCGGGCTGGACGGAGGGGTCCCCGAAGGTGAGAGCACATGGGGGGCTGAGGGAGGGGTCCCCGAAGGTGAGAGCGTGTTGGGGGGCTGAGGGAGGGGTCCCCGAAGGTGAGAGTGTGTCGGGGGGCTGAGGGAGGGGCCCCCGAAGGTGAGAGCATGTCAGGGGGCTGAGGGAGGGGTCCCCGAAGGTGAGAGTGTGTCGGGGGACTGAGGGAGGGGCCCCCGAAGGTGAGAGCGTGTCGGGGGGCTGAGGGAGGGGCCCCCGAAGGTGAGAGCACATGGGGGGCTGACGGAGGGGTCCCCGAAGGTGAGAGTGTGTTGGGGGGCTGAGGGAGGGGTCCCCGAAGGTGAGAGCACATGGGGGGCTGACGGAGGGGTCCCCGAAGGTGAGAGCACATGGGGGGCTGAGGGAGGGGCCCCCGAAGGTGAGAGTGTGTCGGGGGGCTGAGGGAGGGGCCCCCGAAGGTGAGAGCACATGGGGGGCTGAGGGAGGGGTCCCCGAAGGTGAGAGTGTGTCGGGGGGCTGAGGGAGGGGCCCCCGAAGGTGAGAACGTGTCAGTGGCTGGAGCTCTCTCCCTAGGACACTGTGGGAAGTGAGCTGGGCTGGGCCGGCAGCCTCGATCTGGTGAACACCATGGTCTGGGCGTGGGGGCGTGAAGGGCCAAGCAGGGAGCTGGGAAGGAACTCAGCCAGGCTTTACCACCAAGCCGGGTGCTCCCCGCCCGCTGGGGTCTCGGGACCCCCCCCCTCCCCCAGCACACACACACACAGCCTCCCGGAGCAAGCAGAGGCCGGCAGTTCTGGTGACGGAGGGAGCGGGACCGAATGGCCGTGCTGCCCGCTGACCTCGGCCGTGACCTCTGTCCCGCCCAGCCATCGGACACTGGAGCGTGTATAAGCCGCAGCCCACCTGCCACGAGGAGCTGAGGCGGGACTACATCGCCATGAACCGCGGCGCCGTGAAGGCCGGCCTGGTCACCGCGCGGGAGACGATGCTGTACCAGCAGGTCAACGACCTGCGCATCACGAGTGAGGACCAGCGGCGGTTCAAGCGGGAGCCGTCCTCCATCCCCGCCAACATGACCTTCGGGATCCCGTCCCGGTGAGGCTGCCCCGCTGTCCCCCTGCCGTCCCCCACCGTCCCCCCGCCTCCCTCCGTCCCCCTCCGTCCCCCCGGTGTCCCCATCCCCTGGCATCCCCCCTTCGTCCCCCTCTGCCCCCCTCCGCCCCCCCTCCGTCCCCCTCCATCCCCCCGCCGTCCCCCTCCGTCCCCCCATCCCCCCTCCGTCCCCCCGTCCCCGCCGTCCCCCTCCGTCCCCCCGTCCCCTGCCGTCCCCCGCCTCCCGTCCCCCTCCGTCCCCCACCGTCCCCCCTCCGTCCCCCTCCGTCCCCCTCCGTCCCCCCGTCCCCTGCCGTCCCCCTCCATCCCCCTCCGTCCCCCCGTCCCCCGCCGTCCCCCCGCCTCCCTCCATCCCCCACCGTCCCCCCTCCATCCCCCCGTCCCCCGCCATCCCCCCGCCTCCCTCCGTCCCCCTCCGTCCCCCCGGTGTCCCCATCCCCCGGCATCCCCCCTCCGTCCCCCTCCGTCCCCCTCTGCCCCCCTCCGCCCCCCCTCCGTCCCCCTCCATCCCCCCGCTGTCCCCCGCCGTCCCCGAGAACATGACCTTTGGGATCCTGTCCCGGTGAGGCTGGCCCTGTTCCGTCCGTCTGTGGGGGCAGGCTTGGCAATGACTATTAGGGCCTTAGGTGGCGTAAGACTACTGGCTCCAGGGTGGGGCAGGTGACTGGGTCTGGCAATCCATGCACTTCACACACCTTGTCACAGTGATGGGTCAGAGGCCTACCTGGGGCCCGGGCCCAGCCCTGACTGACGGGCATGAGGTTCAGTGAAAGTAGAAGGGGTTGCATGTCATTCATTCACTCAAAAGGCCTCGATATTTTTAAAGGGAAATTCGTTGGCTCACCTGCCGGAGGTAGAGCTTCAGGCGTAGCCGGATCTAGGTGCCGGGCGACTGCAGTATTTGCTGTGTCTCTCCAGGCCTGACTTGGGGCTCTGTTCTCTGACAAGCGTCTTCCTCCGGGGACAGAAGAGCCAGGCTCAGCCCCATCCTGTTCTCTCAGTGCCGGGTGTGTGTGTGTGTGTGTGTGTGTGTGTGTGTGTGTGGAGTTACAGAAGCCTTCAGATTAAGATTCCTTGGTCCACCTTCGGATCAAGTCTATCACGTTAGGTTTGTGAGATACACTGATTGGCCAGCCCTGAGTCACCTGTCTGCCTCTGAGCCAATGGCTGAGGCCAGCAGATTCTGACGCTCTGATTGGCCAGGCCTGACCCCTCCCCCCTTCCTTGGAGGGGGTTTGCTTGGAATCAGTCCCACAATCCACAGGGACTCCTGATGAGGAAGCGGTAGGAGGGGGGTTCTGTCCCCAGAGGGGGAGGGCAGAGCCCAGTAGCGGGCGACATCAGCAGGCGCCCCCAGAGCCGGCCGCTGCCCCATGCTTCCCCGGGTAGGCCCTCCGTCAGCCCAAAGCCCTGAAACCTGCGCTTGGCACAAACACCCGGCCCTCAGCCCAGCACCTGGCGGCACGCAGCCCCGAGCCCGGCTGAGAGCCGGTGCTCGGCTTCAGCTGTGCCCACCATCAAGGGCGTTCGCAATCTGCTTTGTGTGTGTGTTTGTGTTTGTTTTCAAATCTTTCTCACCGGGCAAAGCAGGCACAAGATTTACCATTTCTAAGCGCACAATTCCGTGGCGTTCAAGTGCATTCACTTTGTTGAGCCACCACCGCCATCCGTCCACAGAACTCGTCCTGCAAACCTGGGACCCTGTCCCACTGAAACCCCTCCCCCGGCCCCGCGCCCGCAGCCCCCATGCTGCTTCCTGCCTCTGCCGGCCTGGCACCACGCCCGCCTGGCACCAGCCGCGTCTGCCTTTTCACTTCCCACCGCGTCCTCGGCGCCTCCAGGTGGCAGCCGGTGGTGACGCCCTCCTCAAGCCGGGACCTCCACGGTGAGCGTGGACACCGGGTGCCTCCAGAGGCCTGTGGCCAGACGGGAGCCGGCTCTGCAGCCAGGCAGGACTCCCCGTCCAGTGCTCGCTCGTCCACCTCCTTGGGACTGAGGTGCAGCCAGCACCAGTTCCCGGGTCCGGGGCCCCATTTCCCGTGTGCAATGGCAGAGCCTCGTCTCGGGGCTCAGAAAGGGCGTCCATTAAGCTCCGCCTTCAGCACAGAAACCTTAAATCGCTGTGGACCCCAGCGGCCGCGGCCCCGCGCAGGCCTGATGGAGTGCCGGCCAGATCCCCCTCGATGGCAAATGGGCTTTGCGTATGCAAATTGAATGGATTTTAAAATGGTATTTAATGACAATTTTCGTGGCGGACGTTAACATTAATTGCACGGAAATGAAAATGCTGCATTAGGTTGCTGTTAGCGGCAAATCCCGCGGCCATAAAGCTTTATCTTCATCAGCGGCCGCCCTCCCGGAACTGACAGGGCCGCTCGGCAAATGGCAAGCAAACGGGCTTTTATGGAACAAAAACGGCCCCCAAAGCGGGCCCGAATCAGCATCAATTTCACTTTATTTCTCCGCAAATGGAGGTTAAATGGCTGTTGGAAAAGCTTTTACTGAGACAGGCCCGCACACCCCTCCACCGGATAGCAGATGCAGACGGCGCGATTAAAAATCACCCCCCCTATCCTCCCTGCACCCTACCCCCACCCCACCCCCACCCCCACCCGCACCCTCACCCCCACCCCACCCCCACCCGCACCCTCACCCCCACCCCACCCCCACCCCACCCCGCAATGGGGCTATTACTGTGAAGTTATGGGGCCGAGGCCCATTCGCCAATGATCACCTTTGACAAGCCGCGATTGTGTTTATTTCTTTACTTTGAAAGCGTGTTTAACACCAAACCCCACCACACTGGACTACGAGGAGTTTGGGGAGATTTGGTCCAATAAGTGAGTAAAGAAACCCATGGGCACCGTCACTCACCCCACAGAGACGTTAAAAGCCCGTGCCCCCTCTGGACCTCAGAATTCCAGTCAGGGAAGAATTTTCAATTTCCATTCCCAGAGGCCGAGGCCCCGAAGCATGCTGGGACCCACGGTTTATAAACAGATATGTCCGGAGGCCAGACATGGACCGATTAAAGAGGCACTTAATTATTGATGCGTTTTAACAAGTGTTTGCAAATGCTCACATGCCCTGGGCACATCTTAATTGTGGCTGCTCCTAATTGGCCCAGGGCTGTCCGTTATGATGAGCCAGGGAGGGCGGGGGTGGCGAGAGCTGGGCAGCAGCTGGTGCTCCTGGCAGATTCTGGATGCCCCGGGTTCTGCCACCGCCCTGCCCAGAGCCTCGTGCCACACGCAAGGCGGGGAAGCCGCCACGCAGCGCCTGCCGGGAGCGGCTGACGGCAGGAGAGCCCGCTGTGAACCGGAGAGGCAGCGACGTGTCATTGTTACTCTCACTTGTCAGACAGCAGGCTGAGCGCTCGAGGCCTCCTCTCCTCGAATAACTCTGAAAGCCTGGAACTCTGCATCCCCGTCTACAGAAGAAGAGACAGAGGGTCAGAGAGGCGGAGCCGTTTGCCCCTGGCTGCTCTGCCTCGGGGCGGGGCTTGGTCCCATCTGATCGGATCCGCCTGCCTCACCAGCACCGGGATGAAGGGACCCCATGGAGACACTGCCTGTGTGTTTCTGCACCAGAGAGGGCTGGGGCGGGACATCTGGACCCGGGGAAGCTGTCCTGTCCGGGCTCTTCTGGAAGCCTTTACCCGTGGCCTGGCCCCGGAAACTCCAAACCCCGGGCGCTCCGGCTGGCTTCCGCTCACCCCAGCGTCCCGGAATCTGAATACAGAGACGGTGACCGCGTGGTTAAGTCAGAGCGCAGGCAGAACACGCAGGTCATCCACCCATGAGGCCCGTCCACACCGTCCGGTGCTGGTGCTGGAAGCGCTGGGACCACAGAAAAGTGAGAAGCACCAGAGGGAGGAGCCGCTGCCGTCCCCCTGCCTGCCCGGCTCTAGGCCCGCACAGCCCGACGCTGACAAATGGGAAGGACGAGGGCATTCTGCGGCTGTTAAAAATGCTGCTGCCAGACAGGCGTTTTGAATCTCCCTGCCAAGCTGATTTATTCCACAAATTTACAGCGGGCCCATCCATCACTCCGGAGCCGCTGGCCAGAACCCAAGCCACCCACCCACCTGCCTGCAGAATGCTAACAAGCCCCTTCCCTCCCAGGCAGCAGCCTGTTCCCCCGCGGGGAGGCCCGAACCCCCTGAAGGAACCCGGGCTGGCCACCAGGGGGAGCCTGCGGGCCTGGCAAAGACCCCTCACCTCTCCGAATGGCACCCTGTCTGCCCCGCAGCACCAACAGCACCGTCCTCCCTGACACCAGCCACGTTCGCTGAGACCGGACTGAGGCTAACGGCGGTGGGACGCCCAGTCTTCCCACGTTCCATCCGCGCAGAAGCAACGGGAGTCCGGTAGAAACCGATTTGGGCTTTGATCTTTCCCTGGGACACAGGGTCAGCCGTGATCGCAGGGTGAACCGCTGACCTCTGAGCAGCTGGGCGAGGGCCTTTCCCACGCGAGGTGTTTCCACGGATGTGGTTACGCAGCCGCATCCCCCGTCTGCCGAGCATCCGCCGCCCTCCGCCCCCGGCCGTCTGCTCCTGCTGGGCGGCCCCCGCTGTGCCTCCGGGGTGTCACTCGGTGTTTGTCGGAGAAATATGGCCCGGGCCCTTCCAGGCTTGGAGGCAGCTGTTGAAAGCGAAGAGACCCAGCGAGGAGATGGTGAAGCCGGGGTCCCGTGCCATTTACCCCTCTGCCCTGCTCCCCTGTCCGCTATGGATCACACCGTGGAGACGCCGCCTCAGAGAACAAACGATGTGTCCTCTGGCCGAGTTACTAGAGGTAGCATGTCCAGAACAAGGGAGGTGACCTTCCCACTCAATTCTGCTGCTTAGGTCACACTTGTAACATCAAGTAAAAAACAAAAAAGGTGTGACATCGTACATTTGGGGAAGGCCCGTAAGCAGCAGAGGGGAACATCGGGATGGCGGGTGGGATGGGGGAGGGATCCCACACGCCAGGACC